CCGCCGCCACGCTATTATCTCCCCAGTCAACCAAACGCCGACCTGCAGACCGACCAAAAAGGAGCTCTCTTCTATGTTTCTCACTTGCAGAGAAACTTTTGAGGATTTCGTCGACGATATGAAAGAGAGAAAGGCACGCCGCATTACGTTTTTTGTTTTGCCACAAGAAGGAGCAGAGGAAGGAAGGACAAGAAAGCGCCACCCAAACTTCAAACGAAGGAAGGGGATTACCAGTTTTTGCTCAGGACTTTGATGCAGCACTGGCCTTTGTTCGATAATTGAGATGAAAATTCAGCACCAATTCTTGGTACGAACAAAAAAAATTATCTTTAGAAGACAAAATTGAAGATAAAATTTTTTGGTAATAAACATAAAAGTTTTTGAAACCAAATTTGGTTATTACCAATTAAATCATCAATTATAATAATTCTTCTCAGGGATAATGAAAAAAAAATAACTTGCATTTTGGTCTCTCTTAATATGAAAGAATTTTTAATTCAGTCAGATCATTTTTATTTTTAGTCTTTTTGGTCTGAATGTGACGAACGCAATTATCCAGAATCTTTTTTGAGACCATAATTATATAAAATCTCAATGTCAAATATTCAGATTCTATAAGACATTTAAGAAAAAAATACGTGCCAATAATTTTGAGCTATATTATGGATGAACTTACCACAGAACTTCAAGCGAGTATTAATGGCTTATCTTTGGTTTATATTGTGGTGCGTTTTTTTACGTTTCATAATAAAATTCCATTTTTATTCATCCAAATAAATAAAATGCTCTCAATATTTTACTTCCATGGCATCACAAAGCAAAAAAATTACAACCCAAGCAATAATATTTTCAGGATCGGACCAATAACCGCTCGCCTTTTAATTCGTTTCCATTATTTCTCTCTTTAAAAGCCGGAGCAACTTTCGCGATTTGCTCGTTTCCGAAATAGATTTATGCTCAGGAAGCGAAAGCCATGAAAGTGCATCATTATTCATTTCTAGCGAGCTGTTGTTGGTGCTGGAGCTGTGTTGATGGTGTCGGCGGCGGCGGCGCGGCTCTTTTTCTCCCTTTCGTTTTGGAGGGAAACAAAAATGACGGCAGTGCGGCGGAATATGATTAATGCCGCGTGATTATATGTGCGGTGTGTATATCGACGACGGACGGCGGCGGGTAATGCGAAAACAATTTGCATCGGCGCGGCTGATAATAAACGAGTCTATTGGGAATAATTCCGCGCCCACAGCAGCCGCCTGCATCAATTAGTGGCGTGCGCCTCTCGCACCTGCTGTCACTTGATGATGAATTGCCAAACCTGAGGTTTGTCTTTCTACATTATGAAAAGTAATTTAACTTTCCCTGCTTGTGGGAAATACTTTCCAAGTAATATTGGCAAATCGAGCGTGGCGAATGGACCTTTTCACGCTTCTTGCCCGAGCCAGGGGGCAAAAAAGTAATGCTTTTTGACTGACAAAATACAGAAGAAGAAGTGTTTTCATATTATATAAGCTTGAGAAAAATGATTGATTGCTGGTCGGAGCTTTAGGGAAGTGTTTCGCTTTTTCTCCGATCTTTCAGATTCTATAAGGGGCCGGAGTCTTTCTTACTAAGTAAGGTTTCTTTGCAGTTTCTTGTGGAAAGCAATCCTCACTTTTGACAGATTAGGCTTTTTTATTGAGCAAGCGAAATGCTTTCATGAAAAGTCAGTCAAACTAGTTGGGGAGTCATTTTTGTATGGTATGGGATTTCATTTACTTTATATTTTATGATTTAAAACGATTTAACAATAATCAATCTTTATTTCAGCTCCTTTTGAAAAAATATATTAAAAATTGAACTTTGTATGCTTCTTTTTCTTTAGAAACTAACAAAGTTGTACTTATGAGTATAATTGAAAGGTTACAAACCATAGCATTATATTATCCATACATCATAAAAAAAGATTTAGTATCAACTAAAGCAATAATAGTTACTGTAATTTTATTTTTTTAAATAAATTCATCCCCAGTTTGTTAATAAATAAATAAATAATTGTTTGTGAAATATAAAAAATAATTTTAATATAATGCTTTGCATGAAGTAAAAAATAACCTAATTTGCATTTTGTCTAGTCAACTCATGAATCTTCACTTTGGAACTCAATCTCCCTCTACAAACAAACCGCCCGAGGATGAAAGCGTGACGCAAACTCTGTCGATACAACAATGAAATCAAAACAGCCTTGCACGAAAACAATTTTGTTCCACGCAAAAACTTGATCAAGCGGAGCGTAGCGTGGATTTTTTTTCAATAATTTCGCCCCTCGGCATACGTGGCTGGTGCAAACACGGTGCTGGCAATAATTTCAGGGGCGCCGTCAACGCGATCTGACACCGGGGCGCCGACAATTGATCGCCGCTGTGCCGATGGTAAAAAGCATTAGTTCAACACGATGCACACTCTCGCTTCCTAAACTAATTTTCGCGCGTCAACTTTCGCGCCGTGAAATATTGTGTCGGCGGGCGAATGGCGAACATGAACACATACACTGGGCGCAGCCACCTGAAAGTAACGAAGATTAAACTAAACCGACGCGCGTTCAGCCGTTAATTGATTTCGCGCCGCTCGGTTTGACCAGATTGCTGCTGCCGGCCCGTTAAAAGATTCCATTCTACGTGATGTTTATGCAAATTTGGCGCGGAAAAAGTTTTGTATGTACGTGTGTATGTGCTCGGGCGAAAAGGGCGGGCATTTGAATATTTGGTCGATAAATCAGGCCTGCTATTTTCGAGTAGCCGGGATTTTCCGCATCAAACGTGACCTCAACGAGTCAGTCAGTCGCTCGGTTGGTGAAAAATAGACACATCCGGCAGGCAGGAAAGGAAGTAGGGGTTTCAAAAGGTGATTTGGATGGAAATGTAGGGAAAATCGACAGTTCCAAAATCAGATAATTTTTTGCTTTCCACTTGATTTCTTTCACGTTTCAATTTTCCAGTGATTGATCATGCACGATAAAAATAAAATTCTTTAAATTTTTTATATATTATTATTTAATGGTGTGCAAATTGAATTTTCAACTGTGTAGGTTACTGTGCAAGTGCTAACTCTGGTGAAAACTGTTTTGTTTGCAATACCATAAAATGTTAAACCAAAAAGCAGAGCCTTCTTGAAGCGGTACAGCAATGATTGTAATTTTAAATGTCCATCGTGCTTAAATAATGGTGCTTTAAAATGCGATTAATATTTCTAAAATATTTGTTTTCGCACATGTAAATGAGTTTAAAAAATACTCAAAATTAAAAATTAAAATGGGTAAATAAATAAGGATCACATCTGGCGTGTAAGGCCCAAAATGGAGGAAGTCTCGTTTCGGTGGCTTAAGATGGTAATTTTCTCAGACTCCAGATTTTTTCTCCACAAAACAAAAGCCTCGTGAAAATTCAGAGAGGCAACAAAAGCAGCCTGGGTCTTTCACTTTTTCGCTACTGAAGAGCACCACCGGCAGCCAATATTAGCGTGTTCCGCTTTTTTCCCACCGCTCTCTTTATCATTATTATTATTTTCGAGGAGGCTCTACGCGCGCATATCGACCCCTGGCGCCCGCCGATATGATGTTATTTAGGCCTTGCCTTAATTGAGTATTCTTGTAACATCTTTACACAACGGCTTTAAGGAGAGTTCTGATTGCCTGGCTGCGTCAGAACGGCGACGAAACGTTTTCGCTCCGGAGAAAAGCAATTTTTCATTTCGCGCAAGAATGCTGCTGTGCTGCGCTTGCAACAACAAAAAGCAGCTCTGAGAGGGCTCTTTCAACCGTTTCCCCCAGGTGAAATATTAATTTTTTCATTCTTTTTGCCACGCTAAACAGCTTTCGTGCACGAGAGGTAATCCACAATTGGAAGCCTGTTCAAAAGGCATCAACGTCGAGCGTGTTTTCATTTTTATTGATGGTGAGGCAATTCGAGAAAATGAGATACTTTAGCGGGGAGAAGTTTTTAACTAAATGAGAAGGGGGCGATGCTTCAATTAGGCCGTTTCTAACATCAACTTTTGTTTCCAAAAGGAAAAGAAAAAAGAGGGAAATGAAATATTACGCCAAAAATATTAAGAACCATCTCCCCTTTCTGGGTTGAAGCATAATTTCCTTACGACTCTTATTAAATTATTTCTGGATCTTTTTTCTTCGTCATATTTTTTTTTTATAAATTATCCAGAAAAAGATAATTGAGTCAATTAGGTGAAGTTTCTTGTTTATATTTTACAAGTTGTCGGTGAGAAAAATTTATTTTGTGCGTATTGCAGCAAGTGCATATTTTTTCACGCAATTCTTTTTCAGACTTCTGTTAAACAACAGTTGTGGTCCCGAAAATTGTATTTCAATTAATATAAAAAGTGATAAAAATATTAAAAATAAATAAATTATTACACAAGTTTCATGTACCATTAGAACTAAAATGTAAAAGAGTTAAAGTTTCATGATAAGAGAGCTGCAGTGTTTGGAATAGGAGAAAAACGAAAATAAAAAGCGGCTTTTTGAAGTATCAGGCTTTCTAAATAAATGCAATCAATCAGCAACAACCTATAAATTGGTTATTGTGTTTGAAGTAATAATAAATTTTTAATTTCTCAAAATTAGTATCGTGCTGGTGAAGATCTGTAATTTTTCTTCTCATAATCAGATTAAATGTAATTATTTTGAATTAATGATTGATGTATTTCAAATTTTAATAAAATATAAATTTGCAACTAAAGAGCTGCATTTCAATTTATACAAAAAAATAGTAATAATTTAAAATAATGCTGATTTGCCTTCGACGTGAAACATTGATTTCCAACGATTAGATATTATGTTACGGGAGACGGAAAAATATTTTGATATTAATTTGTTACATAATACAAAAAAGAGAAAAAAAAATTATTTTAATTAGTATTTGTCATATTTTCAGTCCTGTTTAATCAATCTGGCAATTTTAAATTTTAATTTGTCAATAATAAAATCTATTATTATTTGCGGTTCTACGCACCGAGAAGGCCTTGAGGAAGACGAGACACTGAATGATGCCCTCCATGGTGTCTCCGCCGAGGCAGAACTGTCCACTAAGGTGCTTGTTTTTGGGCCCGCCACCGAGGAATCCGGAGAGGACGGGCCGCTTGGGCGCCAAACTGAAGTCGCCAGGGTTGGCGTTGGCCCTGGAGAGGAAGACGCGGCAGTCGTTGGCCGTCGGCATGGCGGCGCCGCGCGTCAGCGAGGTCACGCGGCGAGCGGCGGCCCTGACCTCGGCGTCGGCGGCCGCCGCCGAGTCGTCGTCGGCCGCGGGCAGCGCGGGCACCCGCGAGTTGACCACTCTCTCCACAGAGTCCATGACACACTGCACTGGTTTCAGCCACGTGTACGCAGCCCCTGGTGCCTAGGCGACCATCACTGCACACCGACAAGCATCCACTGAAGATGCTGCCGGGGCTGCGAGCTGTACCACCCGGATCGGATGCTGTGCCTGCACGGCGGCCGAACCCGACTCCGCCCGAGCCGCTTCTGCGTGCGTGTTTGCGCCATTCGATGCCGATTTCAACACAGCAGCTCAACCTTCTTTCACTACTGCCATGTTTAAACGATGTTATTATCTGTTATTATACTCAACACCATTATTATTTTTACAAAATCCACTTTGCATTTTGGTGAGTATTTTAAATTTTTCAACATAAAAGTCTCTCAAATTATATTAATAGCTTTTAGAATGTATAAATTTATCATTTAAAGAAATGAAGATTAATTATATACTTTGCTTGTTTTTGGTTTGTTGAAACTGGTAAAAATTGTGGTTTAATTTTTAAGATTTTAAGATCACAGCTATCCATATTTATAACTGCACGTTAAAAATATAAAGAAATATTTGAAAAACACAAAATAATATTTAATTTTTGTATGAAATTTAAAACCTCTCGTTAAATAACTATTTATCTAAAATTTAAGTTAAAAATGAGCAAAGGTAAAATGAAATTTTTGTATAACAATAGCAATCAACTCAGAATATTGTTTCCATTGAATTCATTAAGAAGAACTAAGGTTTTATAAATTGCAATTTCATCTCACTCGACGGTGTGCAAATTCCCTGTTGGCAGTTATGGGATGCGAGCAGTGGCTGAGTTTGGTACATTTATGAGGCAGCACCACATTATTCGACGGAACATGTTCAGGTAATAATATCAACCGCAAACGCCCGTCAGGCATAATCAAGTCGTTGCCAATTTGATTGCAATGCCAGCCTGAAGAGGAAACGAGGGAGTGCGCGTTTCATCCAATCTGCCCCCGACCAAATCCAACTCGCCAACGCTGCCTATCTCGTTTCGCATCGCCCGCAGCAGGATGTATTGGACCACCGATTATTATTTCATAACTCCACTTCTGGGTCAGGTTTCCCAATATTCTGATGACGAGATTCGGGGAATGTTTGTTTAACGTGTTTTCCAAGAACTGGAAGTAAATAATAAAAAAAAATATAGATTCTTGTTGACGCCAAAATTATGCAAACACCATTTTTCTGTTCTTCATTTTTCTTTTAGAAGTTTCACCCACGATGAATTTATTTCTTCAGATCACTTCCGATCAATACATTTTAAAGACATTCTAATTTTAATGAAGGCTGATTTCTTCGATATTTAATTCAATGATGTCAATAATAATTAGAGCATAAAATTTGTTAGTTTTATTTTCAAATTATGTATTGCTCAATGTATATTTATGAAAACGGGTTAAGGAGACAATATTTGATTAAATTTCTGTTCTCCCTTGATATTTTAATGAAGCCTCTTATGTTGCGTGAAAAACTTTCAAATTGTAAATCATACCGACTTGTTTTGATTCAATCAGACGCAAAAAGTAAATTGCATTATGCAAACAAATCTGAAATAATTTTTTGAAATGTCATTATTTTCAAATCGGCAGAAAACTGGCAGCCAGCGTTTTTATATTACTTTGCAGACAGGCGAGGATATTTATTTTATTTGCGCAGGAGGAGGTCTGTCAAAATCGAGTGGCGGCGCGCGAGAATTGTATTGCTGCATGAGTGCGCTTGCTGTGCCGCCCGTGCTGATATATGGCGCGTATTTTCTGCAACAAAAACTCTCATCTTTTCATTTTGCCCTCGCTCCCAATCCAGTGGTGGCGGCAGCCACATTTTTTCCGCATTGACGTGTCGTGCGGAAGAGCGGCGCGCGCGAGAGATATACAAGAAATATATATTTTTTAACGCCGAAATAGGATTTAGCAGAGAGAGGCGGCGGCGGCGGCGGTCGGATTCTTAATAAAACAGTTTCTTGGCAAAAGATTTCGCTCGCCGACTTTTTGGTAAACACCTGCTCAGCCGGCTACCCAGCACAAAAGCAGCTCTGACACATTTTTTATTTACGCGACGCCCAAGCCAAAAAGCAGCAGCCATTTTCGCCCCATTGTTGTCGAACGCTGTTTTCCTATCTGCCTGCATTTTATTACCAAGGCCAAATACTCTGTCATCCCCCTCGCCCAGACTGCGACATAAAAAAAAGTCAAGGAACCCCAGTAAATTTCGACCAAATTTGGTTTCCCATCTGCTTGCGTAAACCTCTCCGTTTTATAACACCGGTCGGTGGTGCATCAAATGATGGAGTTGGTCAGCGGCCTCCCGGCAAACTCGATCATAAAACTCGCGTAAAAGGTAAAATATTTTATGAGCAGCGCTAAAAGGTTTCCAAACTCTATTGAAAATTTAATGAAAGCTTTTGATTAAAATTTTCAATGAATACGACGCATAAAACGGTGAAAGCTGCAAAGTTTTCACATACAAAAAAAAGCTGAATCAGGAACTTGTAAGATGGAAGATTTAAAAATCTCAAAGAAAACTTGATTGAATTTTCTAATATTTTTCTTTGCTATCTCTACTACATATGATTTTGGTTAAATTTTTTTAAATAAAGGAACTTATCTCGGCACATAAAATTTTCAGCTTTTGTCAAAATGTAAAAATGCTTATAGATATTATAATTTAATGGAGCAAATAAAAAAATAATAAATTTCTACAGAAAAACCCATTTTACAATTCAATTATTTATGTAAAAGGAAAGAATGAAGAACAGCAAAAAATTAAATTCTTCTCAAATTTTCTGTTTCATTTTTGTTCACCAACAACTCTTCACATTTTGACGCTGATTATGAGGTTTTCCTTTCGAAACTACAAACTTCTACACTGTACTTCTCCACTGTTACTATCTTGATTGTAAATTTATTTCTCATTATTTCAGCTTACCTCTGAGCAGGTAACGAGCAAGCTTTTTCCACCAACTCAATTAATTTTAATACGTTTGTTCAGCGAGCGAGCGTGTTCCAATTTTCGAGGCTTATTTCTTTCATTACGCCAGCGAACCAGCCGCTTTTTCGCGCGCAGGCGTGCTTGTTTTGATTAAAATTTCGGCGCTGCCATTCGATCGGCCGTTTTAATCCGCGATCGGGCCGCACTGCCAAAGAAGCATTATCATGGTAAGCCGTGCGGATAACAAGTTCGAGGGCGGCTCTCTTACTCGGAAGTGCTACTCTGCGGGTTTTCGATTTGAAAAGTTTCGTGTGTAGACACAGTGGCGGCCGCCGAGAGATAGCGGCGACCTGCTCTTCTTCTTCCACCTCCGCCTGCCAACCAAGAGACAAACTCGTCGGTCCCTCTCTCTCGCATCGGGCAAGACAAATTACAGAGAAGGAACGAGTGCCCTTTAACGGTTATAAGTATTCAAAGTTTTAACTCGGCAGCCACGCCAAGTTGGCTGGCTCCCGCCGAGCCGGCTGCGAATATTGATACTCGCCGAGACTAAATTTTATGACGACGCCGCACATTAATGTCGCCAGCCGAGCAGCCAACTACGCTCCACTTCACCTTCCTCGCCAAACTTGCCCACTTTTCTCCTACTCCGCATGAGTTTCCAACGAGTTGCAAAAACGCATTCTTTCAAAAACTTTGATAAGCAGTTACTTTCTTTTTTTTTCTTTAAAAATACATAAAAACATTTTCTTTTGTTAAATAATGAGTATAAAAAGAAATTCTTTCCTATCTTAATCCAAATCCAAAAGATTTTGCTTTCTATACACTGTTCTGAATATTTGGACTTTTCCTCTCAAAAGCACACTTTTTCCAGTTCAGTAGTTTTTAGGTGTTGAGCTGTTTTGTATGTCAAGCCAAGTCCCAAGAAAATTGGCCACAATACTATTTTCTTTCCTCCTTTTCTGTTTCTTTGAAAACGCTCTCACGGTCCGTAATGACGTGACTATTGAAATTGTTTCGTCCAAAACTCTCTCAGCCAGAATCGTATCGCCTTATTCAGAATATAGTCGCTTTTGTCGCACAAAAGAAAGCGCCTGCAAAAGAGGCGGCACGCTGTGTGCCAAGCATACCGGCTGCGCGGGTTGCATAACAGCCGATGCTGCAGGCGCTCCGAAGGCGTGAGAAAGGAGACGTGTTCGTTTCTGGCACTTTCGCGATACGTGTCGCACTCGGAGCGAGAGTTACAATTGAAAGACCCTCGACCAAGAAAGGCGAATGCGGGAGGCCTAAACGAGGAGGGGCACAGCAATTTAAATTTTAATTGGAAACTCATTCCTGCTTCCTCATAAGAAACTTATTTTGAGCAGATTTTTTTTATTATTTTTAAACTTTTTTCTTTTAAAAGTTTGACAGTCTACGCGTTTAGTTTTTACAAAAAAAAAACTGTTCAATCTCCCCCCCCCCCCCCCCAGTACAAAGTTGGAGGATTTGGAGATGGAGACTCATCGTCAGGGCAGAAGGCAGCTTCCTTTCAATGAAAGGATTGGCGGCGTCTCGAAGTGCTTCGCCTCACGCACAAGTGTGTACTTTGCTGCTGTTGCACCAAGTCTCGTTGCCAAGAGTGATTCTCGAAGAGCCTCAAAACACGAGAAACCTTTTAAAGAGGTTCTTCAAAGCGAAAAGTGAAGATGGGGGCGTTTAATTAGAAGACAAACGCGAGTTTTCCAGCGCACTTTTCTGTATGCGAAGAAGATTTGAAGTGATTGATGATGCGGCCGGTGGGCCTCGAGGGTAATAAATAATTCGCCTCTCTCGTGCAGACGTGTGATTTCGCACATCTGCCGCTGTATGTGTAAGCACTCGTGGAGTGTTGGTAAATTTATTTACAGTTTGTTGGAGAGATGTATTACCGGCCGAGCCTTTCGTGTCGGGCCGCGTGAGAAATGGATCCGTCGAGATCGCAGGCGACAAAACAATGCACGTCGTCGTCACAATGGATGGATGACTCGGGCAGAAGGCCAACCGGGCCGCTTTTTTGACCCGCGGGTGATTGAGTGCATCTCATTATTTACCGCGTAATCGCCCCTCATCTCGCCTCCTAAGACTAATGAAAAATCT